GGCTGGGGATTCGGACCCGCCACCTTAGGTGTATGTGGCTGGCGCCTTAGCCACTTGAGCCACAGGCGCCAAGCCGAGAACAGCAAGTCTTAATCAGTTCTACTGTCCCACACTGCTATTCTTCAGACAGCTATTATTATGGACTAAAGTAAAAAAATAATCTTACACATACGGACAGAATGCAAAGCAGTGTACATTTTAAATACGCTGCAGTTTGCTGTTAATATAGGAGGCATGAAAAGCAAATCTTCGATGGAAAATTAAACGTAATTAGAATTAGGTCTTATCATTAGTTAATAATAGGGACAAGGACAGTGCAGTAATAAATGGCTATAGCATTCCCCTAAGCAGTTTCTCTTAAAGGGTGATTTAATTTTTTTTTTCATAAAGCTACTGTAAAGAAATTTGACATGGAGTTTTGGTGATTGCAGTATGCCAGCAGCATTTCAGTTCTGTTGATAATCCCAGCTGGGTATGTAGGATTGCGGGTCAACAGTGGTTAGACAAAAAGATAAACAAAAAGATAAATGCAGGGTAAAAAGGGTACATGTTTTATTTTAATGCATGCGTTCATCTCCACTTTTCTAGACAGAATTTTTTCTAGCATCTTAATGTGATGTGGTGAGTTTCATGGAAGATAGAATGGCAATGTCATGAAATCCCCAACAATTAAGAGTTTTCACGACCCTCGCAATTAGATAGGGATAATCTACACTACATATTTGAATTGAACCGACTTGTGGCTTGAACTGAAGTATATGACTCTTAAGAAAACTCCCCAAATTTTCCTACGACTTGTACCGTATCTTTTAGCTATATACTTTGCATTTAAAATGCATATCACACTAAAAAGAAACTTGAAATCCTTAATCTACTGGTGATAAATTTGATGCCTAAAGAAATAATGCTGGCATGTTTACATCATTTAAAAGGTGTTTTGACCAAGGCAGGAAATCCTTGATATTTTCATGAAAAACTCGTGGCCATTTCTCACACATTGCATTCTCCACAGAGACCGTTTTCGTCATGCTGTGGGGGAATCAGACCCGGGGCTCAGACTTCGTCCTGATGGGAATCTTCACTCACAGCCCCACCCACACCTTCCTCTTCGCTCTGGTGCTGGGCATCTTCACAGTAGCTGTCCTGGGCAACACTGCCATGGTGCTCCTTATCTACCTGGACACCCAGCTCCACACGCCCATGTACTTCCTGCTCAGCCAACTCTCCCTCATGGACCTCACGCTCATCTGTACCACTGTGCCCAAGATGGCCTTCAACTACCTATCTGGAAGGAAATCCATCTCTCTGGCAGGTTGTGGGGCCCAAATCTTCTTCTATGTTTCCCTGCTTGGAGCTGAGTGCTTCCTGCTGGCCACCATGGCCTACGATCGCTATGTTGCCATCTGCCAGCCTCTGAGATACCCTGTTCTCATGAGCCAAAAAATCTGTGGTCTCATGACGGCTTCTTCTTGGATTCTTGGCTCGCTCGATGGCATAATCGAAGTTGCAGTTGCACTGTCCTTCTCATATTGTGGGGCCAGGGAAATACCCCATTTCTTCTGTGATGTGCCAGCCCTTCTTACCCTCTCATGCACCGATACCGTGATGTTTGAAAGGATGATATTTATCTGCTGTGTAATTATGCTGCTTTTCCCTGTGGCAATCATCGTGGCTTCTTACGCTCGCGTCATTCTGGCGGTCGTCCGCATGGGATCTGGGGAGGGTCGCCGCAAAGCTTTCGCCACCTGTTCCTCCCACCTCATGGTGGTGGGACTGTACTACGGGGCGGCCATGTTCATCTACATGCGCCCCGCTTCTCATCGTTCCCCCACCCAGGACAAGATGGTGTCAGCCTTCTACACCATCCTCACCCCCATGCTGAACCCCCTCATCTACAGCGTGCGCAACAAGGAAGTGGCCAGAGCGTTCATGAAGGTAACAGGCAAGGTAAAGTCTAGGGAGCAAATCGCTTAGTTATTCGCTTCTTACTTACCTACGTGGCTTTATACTGGACCAACACAGTCCAGCCCCCAGTATTTACCCCTTTCTGTAGATTTACAGGCAATCACATAAGATTAAGAAACTGAAAAACAACAACAAACAAACCCTGTTTTCTTGTTTGTTCAAATATTTCATATTTTTTGTTGTGGTTAGTTTAGTTTACTTATAGTACGGCTCTATATTTGTGCAACAAAAAAATTCACAACTTCCTACTTTGTCTTTTTAATACCATTTAACAAATCAGAGACATCTGCCCATGAATTACCTTGTGTTTGACGGCACATATTAAACCTCGTCCCTTTTAAGATACATTAGACTCAACCTTGACAAAGACTGCTACTGATCCAACATCATACTTTAGACTTATAATTTTGTTAAAATGAATTATTTCATATTGTTGTCGTGATATTGATAGGAGATTAAATTCAATTATGGAGATCTTTAATTTTTAATGAGGAAAAGCTACTATATCCTTATATGAATATTAAATTACTCAGTTAAAACCTTGTTGCACCATCCGCACTGTGTTAGCTTTCTTTTTACACATAATAGTGTCACAAAGTTAGAACCAGAAATTGTAACTATTTATTTGTCACAATTCATAAGGTTCAGAAGTCCCCAATAACTGCAGCTTTTCACACTCCCACCTACCATGTGTGAAATTTCCAGTGTTCCACATCCTCATGTACATTTGGTGTCATCAGCCATTAAATGATGTGTTGAGATGTGTTGGTATTTTATCATAGTTTTAATTTGCATTTCCCTGATAACTAATTATGATGCTGAGCTCTTTATCATGAGCTTATCGACTATTTGTTTATATTCTTTTTAAAAATGTTCAAAGTTGTTTGGCTCATTTAAAGTAGGTTAATGTTTTAGTGTTAATTTTTGGAAGTATTTATTCTGAAAATAGCTATTAGTCACATCTATTGTGCAAATACATATTTTCTTCCAATCAATGGGCTGGCTATTTATTTTCTCAAATATGTTGTATGATGAGCAGGAGCTTTCATTTCACGGAACTCAAATTTCAAATTTATTAGTAGGACAGTTTAGTAGCTTTCCCTCGAGCTGTTACCTACTTGCTCACTTACCACAGGACACGGCAGTTTTACTCCCAGGTATTACCCAAGGGAAATGAAAACGTGTCCATACAAAAGCCTGCGTCTGAGGATTCCTACCAGTTTACATCGCAAGAGCCCCAAACTTGAAATCCCACATGTCCATCAAGAGTTGACTAGAACAAGTAGTGATACAGCTGCACAAAGAACTAGCAACAAAGACAGCGATTATCAAGAGTATTTCCTCCTTTTTTTGTTATGAACATGTGTATGTCTTTATTTTCTTTCCTCTCTTATTCCTTTATCATGTAACATAAGACATATTGATTTTATGGTATACTATTAAGTATTGTTAATTTTACAGCAAAGTGGTAACTTATGGGATATCAAAAAGAAGAGTAAACATCACTCATGGATTTTACTTCCTCTGTAGGGAAGGATGTTTGTGTGTTTGGTTATTTGGTTAAGTTGGGTAGAATTATGACTTTCTTATTATCTTTATTTGGAGGTATGGTTTACTGGGAGATGTGTATAGGTGACAAGTTAACAAGGGGCGAAGTGTGACAGTTAAATTTTATGTGTCAACTTGACTGGGCCATGGGGTGCCCAGATTAAACATTATTTCCGGGTGTGACTGTTAGCATGTTTCTGTATGAGATAAACAACATAACTGGTGGACTTGGGAAATTTCCTTCCCCAATGTGGGTGGGCATCATATCATCTGTTGAGTCCTAGATAATATAAAATGGGAAGGAAGGAGGTATTTCTCTCCATTTTTCTACCTTATTCCTTGAGCTGGGACGTCTCATCTCATCTCCTGCCCTCAGACTAGGATTTACATCATTTGCTCCGCTGATTATCAGATCTTCAGATTCAGACTGAATCACATACCCATTGGATTTCCTGGGTCTCCAAAAGGTATATGGCTGATCATAGCACTTCTCAGCCTCCCTAATTCTATGGGATTATTCCTCATAATAAACCAATCTCTCTCTGTCTCTCTCTCTCTCTATAAATATATATAATATATATACACATATATACATATATGCATATTTACACATAGTGTGTATATATGTGTAAATACATGTTGTATATGTACATATATAATAAATAAATTTATGAGTATAATGTATATGTACCTTTTTCATTCTGTTTTTCTGGACAATGTGGACACACATGTGGATTAACCGTTTCTGTTAAATTGGAGGAAAATATGTCTATTTTTCAAATATTATTTTCCTCCTCCTCCTCTCTTCTGGATACTTCACTTACCTGTGTGTTGGGCCACCTGATCTGATGCTCTGTTTAGTTTTCTTTTGGCCTTTTTTTTTCTCTCCATACTTCATTTTAGATAGCTCCTATTGCTACATCTTCAAATTCACTTATCTTTTCTTGTACAGCATTTAATCTGCTGTTAATCCTGGCAGTGTATTTTTAAGTTGAGATATTGTATTTTTCATTGCTAGAAGTTTAGTTTGGATGTTTTTTAGATGTCTCATTTTTCTCCAGACTATACTCATGCTTTCCTATTCTTTCTTGCATATATGAGGTGCATTTATAGTCACTGTTGTGATGTCCTTATTCAAAAGTTCTAATGTCCGTGCCATATATGTCTACACATCTGTATACCGATTTTTTTCTGATTCTGGGTCATATGTTCCTGCTCATTTACGTATCGTATCGTTAATGTTTGATTGCATGCCAAACATTGTACATTGTTATTGCATGCTGGATTTTTTTTTTAAGTTCCTTTAGATAGTTTTGGGCTTTGTTTAGAATACAATTAAATTACTTGGAATCAATTCAATTCTTTTGAAGCTTGCCTTTAAGCTTTCACAGGGCAGTTCTAAGACAGATGTTCATTAAGAGCTAATTTGGCCCATCTAAAGCAATATTGTTTTGAGAACTATATTCCACACCCCACATAGTAGGAGATCTTCCCAGTCTGGCTAGTGAGAACACTACTTTTTGGCCCTCTGTGAACTCCTGAGACTCTTCTGCCTGCATGGCTCTGTTCTTCCTGAAGCCTGAGTAGTCTCCTCACACATTCACATATCAGTGCTCAGCCAGAGAGTTGAGGGACCTCTCTGCAGACCTCTGGAGCCCTCACCCTCTGCAGTTCCTCCTCTTTGATATTTTGCCTCATAAGTTCTCATCACTTTGCCTTCCTAGAACTCTCAACTATGTCTCCCTACTCCATGGAACGGTTTGGCTCTGTCTTGGTTCCTCTTTTCTGTGGCCAGTCTGGAAAGTCTCATGCTAATGGGTATTTTCAGGGCTCATCCCATTTGTTGTCTTTCTCTCAGGCATCACTGTCCTGCATCGTCTGTTTTCCTGATTTCCAGAGTTTAACACTTTTGGTTCACACCTTTTGTCCAGCTTTTAGTTGGGAAAGGAGGAAGGTTAAGTCCAGTCTCTGTCATATCATCATGGTTGAAAATGGACTTCTGTTTTAGTGAACACTTGTCATCTTGTTTAAGTAGTCTCCTTTAATTTAATATCTTTTTATTAGAATTCTGTTAAATATTAGAGGGCAAAGTTTTCCTTTTGCATTTATAAAATCATATGGGTTTCCTTCTTAATTTACAAATGTAATAGATTTGTGTTGATAGGATTCTATTGTTGAATAACTTTGGCATTTCTAGAGGGAACACTTGTTTATTAAATATTATTTTATATTATTAAAAAATGATTGATGTAATGGCAAGTTCCAGGATAACAGTTGTTTCAGCTTTAGAGCAGCCTGTCTAGATTAGTAATACACTAAGGAATTCATCACAAGGATTTATCTGCTTGTGGCATTAAAAAGAAACTGATTTTTTTTTTCTATAGGCTAAATGCAATGGCTCAGTCTGTAATCCCAACACTTTGAGAGGCTGAGGTTGGAGGATGGCTTGAGATCAGCCTGGGCAACCTAGCAAGACCCTGTCTCTAAGAAAAACCTAAAAAATAGCTGAGTATGGTGGTGTACACCTATGGTCCTAGCTACTTGAGAGGTTGAAGCAGAAGGATCACTTGAGCCCAAAAGTTCAAGATTGCAGTGAACTATGATTGCACAACTTTGCTCTGTCTGGGTGATAGTGGACAGTGAGATTCTTTTAAAAAAAGAATTTTTTTCTCTAAAAAAGCTATTAAAAATTCTTATGGGCTTTCAAAATTCGGAGGATTCCTTCTATACTTAGAAGCATTTTTAGGCTTTCTCTTTGTATATTATACTGACTAAAGTTATTCCATGGTGCACTGATGCCCTTTGCATTTCTTTCCAGTGTCTCTTCTCTGTGTACCTCAATCTGGGTATCCTGCATTGCTGTGTCTTCAAGTTCATTAATATTTTCTTCTTCAGGGTCTAACCCACCAGTAACCTCATTCAGTGAATTTTCATGTCAGACATTGTAGTTTTAATTCCAGAGGTTCAATTTGGGTATTTAAAAAAATATTATCCGTGTCTCTGCCAATGGGTTCAGTCTTTCCTCTATTTCAGTATACAGAATACTATTACAATTATAGTTTCAATATCCCTGTTCATCTGTAATCTGTTATTGATGCTTACTTTTCATGTTTTTTTTTATTATGAGTCATATTTTCCTACTTTTTATATGCCTAATAATTTTTAATTAGATGCAAGACACTGTGAATTTTATCTTGTTAGATGAAGCATCTTCAGGTGAGAGCAGAAGAGGAAGCATCTTAGTAACTACCACTCTGGCTAGAAAAGCAGGCATGAGTCTCCCTCTTACAGATGCTTCAAGGAGAGTAAGAAGCCATTCTCTTCTGGAGCAGTGGCCTCCAGCTCTCCCTCTGGACAGAGACACACGCCTGTGTCTTGTGCTTAGCTGAGGGTCTGTGGCTCAGGGCAGAAGCAGTGATGGTGACCAGAAAAAAGGAGTGGTATGGGAGAGATACAACCCA